CATGGTCTCTGCTCTCTTAATAAATTATTGTCTCATTCAACTTTTTAAGAGCATAATTCACGTGCCAACCCGATCCGTCCATTGGGAACATCGATCAAGACACGGTGGTTCTGTTGCTGCATGCTCGCGATCACATTCACCACAGAGTTCACGTTTTCTGGCGCAGCTGCAATGGCTAGGCACGACATGGTCCCGGCGGTGCTGTGTAACATCAGGTTATCCGCGGGCATCGTCATGTTCACTCCCTTGAACATGAATGTTATCGCCGGCACCGTGACTTGCCCTGAATAGCACGTGTCGAAGCCTCCGAGTGACGTCACCACAGCGTTACGTGGCTTCACGCGCCTCCTGAACTCATCCCTCACCACCTCGTAAACCGGTTTAGCCAGTCGCGTGTACACGGTCCCTGCACATCATAGAGTCGGTTCATAAGATTTTATATACGTAGAAGTATTAAACCAAATCAAACCGAAATGTTTAAAGTGTAATGAAATCCAAAATTGTGTATATACATTGAAAATTAAAAATTCTATAAATTAATAATATTGGGACTACACCAAATTTTTTATTTCTTACTAATTTAGAGAGATATTAATTTATCGATATATTAGTTGAACCAAAAATTCAATTTGGAATTATAAAATTATATTATTTTATAAAAATATTTAGTGTATATTAATTTATCGAGTATTAATTTCTAAAGGTTTTACTGTATATCCATTGATTTTAGGCTAACCAAACTAAATAGAATCAATGAACCGATGTAAACTCAAACCGGAATTGTAATTAAATCAAATAGAAAACCAAAACTGGTTAAATCCGAGATCAAACCGGTTTGCAAAATTGTAATTTCGTACCGGAGTCGAAGATGGTTCCAGCGCCTGTTGTGGGATTAAAAGCAATAGCTTCCTGAGGTAAATCGACGACTTTGTTACCGACACGTATCGCAACGAGGTTGACGTAATACAAAGATGACCTTCTCGGGTTTCTTAAGAGTGGCGTGTACTTCACGCGCAGTGGCTGAGAAGTGGGGCCGAGTCTCAACGATCCAGAGAAGGCTAGTGACCTGAAACTAGGTAAACAGTAGGAGAAGGTGGACTGGTAGAGTGACTGAGCTTGTGTCATGAGTGATAATGGGCCTCGTCCCAGGCCCAACAAGCCTTGTGGCGGAGGGATGGTTCCTCCTCCTGCGACCTTGTTGACACATCCAAAGGTGAAGGCGTTGATTGGATCGGCGGCGAGACGGATCGTATCCTGAGAGAGGTTTGCGGCGATGGAAGAGCTTCCGTAGGTGAGGTTGAAAGCGCACGCGCTTGATCCGCACGTGGGGTTGGGTACCTGCAAGACAAATGTTCACGTGAGTTAGTGAAGTGTGTCGGTCTTATTTAGTTGTGCAGTGTGTTCTGTAGTCCCGTGAGTGATTATTTGGAAGTGTGGGTGGAATAATCAATTATTAACCACATGGGACCCCACTCTCTGTGAAAAAACCTTTTCATAAAATTAATATTATATGTGTATATACGTATAATTCATCAAATACAGTCTAGATCTTCTTGAAAAACTCAGTTTTGAATACAATTTTTAATTGCTAAATAATATTCTCAGATCAGATCTTATAAACGAAAACAAATCGCAGGTTGCTAATATTAAAACGCGATAACATTATAATATGTGACTTACATGAGCCAAAAATGTTCAAGTCAATAATGCTTCATTAATGAAGCTATACGTAAAGTGTAATAAAAGTGTGAAGAATAAAACTATAATGAAAAAAACATTCCATGGAACATCTTATTATATTTGTATGTGTGTGTAAGTGTAAGCACGAAAGTTACTATACCTGCTTACACTGAGGAGCGTTGCAACTGACGTTCTTGAAAGTGGTGGACTTGGCCGGAGAAAAGGCGGTGGTTGAAGGACAGCCAACGCAGCCAGAGCAAGGTAACCAAGCCACGTCACTGCTCGTGTCCATGGCTAGGAGTAGAGACTGAGCCGGAGTTCCGATCTTAGCCTTGACAATGTACGTTGTGCTCTGCAACATTTGACGCCCGGAGGCGACGGGAACCACAGATCTTCCGGCGACGAGGCTGGTCAAGTACTGAAGACGGGCCTGGTCTTGAGCCAGTGTCTTTAGTACACGTGCTTCCCATGAGAGTGGGGATGATGATTTGAAGGGCGAGCAAGGGCTGTCTATGTGAAAGATTCTTAGGGTAGAGTCTTTGTCTTGAGTGTTGCTGAGGTCACAGTTTGGGTGGTTTAACCCAAATGCTAATGGGATGATGAAAAGAAGCTGGAGGATTAGAACCAGAGTGGTCATTGTATTATATGTTTTGGGTTAGATGTGATATTAATTGGCTTGGCATGAGAGGGTATATATAGTAGTATAGGCTGCAATATCTCCAGTAGCTCAAAAAATTACTTGAGATTTCCACTGCTTTTGTTTTGTAATTGATGGGCTGAGTAGTAAAATAACGAATACATTCCTCTCATGCAGTTGATATTGAAAAAATATATATAGAAAATGCTTAACGAATATTCTAGCATATACATTGTTTTATTTAATTATGTTAATTAATAAACTAAAATAAGATGAATTAAATCGGAAATTTTATCAAATAAATAAATTAAAATTAGAAAACAATACTTAAAGTGAAATAAAAATTAAACTTTGGAATGACAATTAATATGAAATAGATGAATGAATTAAATAATTTTTTATTAAAGTATTTTAATACAACAAATGGGTGTATACAAAGATTGGACTAGTCGCATGTGTGGGCCCAGGTTTTGTTGAAATACTGAATGTGCAGACCAATGATTTAACGCCAGCTCAGCAACAACTCATGCTCTTAATGGGCTCGAATTTGTTTAGAAGAAACGTATGCTTTGTTTCCGTAACGGGCCTATACCAACTAAATAAGCCCATTATACGTAAGCCACTCTAGGGTTTCTAGATTTTATCCTTCTGATATATAAAACGTAGAGGAAGTGCCGCCGCAAAAAAGAATCAGAAGCTCGCAACTCCTGCAAAAATGGTTCGTCCCATCTCTTTCCTTTGCTTTCAGTTTGTGTATCTGTATCTCTTGTGCGTTCAATGGTTGCTTAGTTCTACGTAGAAATGGATTTAGTTTGTGTCTTAGTATAATAGCTTCTCTAGCTTTGCTCACTTCATGCCGTAGACCATATGTTCTGTTTTATTAGGGTTTCGGTTACAGAAATGCAGCCACTGTAATGTTTCAGGATCGAAATGTGACTGCTATGTTCTGTAATAATTGACAATTGAGCTAATAGGGGAATGTACTGTATCAGATATGATAGTTTTTTGTATTGTTTGACTTTGTTGTCTTTAGCTTGTGTTTGGTTTGACCTTTTATGTTTTAATGTAATTTTTGCAGGCAAGAGGATTGAAGAAGCATCTAAAGAGGCTCAATGCACCCAAGCATTGGATGCTTGACAAACTTGGTGGCGCCTTCGTAAGTTTTCTTTGTCTTATTCATTACATATGCTTTGTAACATGTGTCTTAAATTGTTCGTTGTTTCTTTGCAGGCTCCCAAGCCGTCTTCTGGGCCTCACAAGTCTAGGGAGTGTCTTCCTCTTGTCCTGATCATCAGGAACAGGTTGAAGTATGCTTTGACATACCGTGAAGTCATCTCCATCCTTATGCAAAGGCACATCCAAGTCGATGGAAAAGTCAGGACTGACAAGACCTACCCTGCTGGTTTCATGGATGTTGTGTCTATCCCCAAGACCAACGAGAACTTCCGTCTTTTGTATGACACCAAGGGACGTTTCCGTCTCCACTCCATCAGAGATGAGGAAGCTAAGGTAAAAATCTTGAGAATGTCTAAACAAAACTATTTAAGTAATGATTGGATTTTAGAAGTAATAAAGTGATGTTGTTGTACCTTGCAGTTCAAGCTTTGCAAGGTTAGGACTATTCAGTTCGGACAGAAAGGTATCCCTTACCTCAACACTTACGATGGTCGCACAATCCGTTACCCAGACCCACTCATCAAACCAAACGACACCATCAAGCTAGACCTTGAAGAGAACAAGATTGTGGAGTTCATCAAGTTTGATGTTGGTAATGTTGTGATGGTTACTGGGGGTAGAAACAGAGGGCGTGTGGGTGTGATTAAGAACCGTGAGAAGCATAAGGGAAGCTTTGAGACGATTCACATTCAAGACTCAACGGGACATGAGTTTGCCACTAGGTTGGGTAATGTGTTCACGCTTGGAAAAGGAACAAAGCCATGGGTGTCTCTTCCAAAGGGTAAAGGTATTAAGCTTACCATCATTGAAGAAGCCAGGAAGAGGCTTTCTGCTCAACAAGCTGCTTAAGTTTATTTTGTCATTGAAGGATGTTTCGTTTTACTCTTGTGTTATAGACTCGCTACTTGTCTCAGTTGTGAGTTTTGTTCCTCTTTCATGTTGCTTGCTTGCATAACTCTATTACAAGACAGTTTAAGACTCCAGTAGAGCGTTTTGTATGGAAAATTTTAGAATTTTTACTCTTTTAAATCTTTGACTTGATATTTTTCACTAACACATGATATCTCTTTTCTTGTTCCTATCATCTCAAGATCCATTTTGCAATATTAGCTTCTGGTTTATAACTTAAACTTTCCGGTTCCAATGATCTCTTCTAACAGAAGCTAGTCAAAGGAAGCCAAACCCTAAGAGTTACTTCAGATGCACGCAACCAAATTGCCAATTCTCTAGTGTCATTTTTACTAGAAAGAACAGAGACGTAGAAAGTGAAAGATGGGTAATGATGTAACAAACACACAAAGGCAATCATTATTATTTTTTTATAGAAAGAAAAAGAAGTTAAAGCACATGCTAGTAGCCGACACTATGAAGTAAAGGCCAGCGAACGTGAAAGCCTATCACTTATTTAGATCTCTTTTATGTATATTCGTCACTCTGACTTTGTCTGAAAAAACTAGATCTGTCTCTCTCTCAATGGCTTCTCCTCTTCTCCCAACTTCAACTTCTCCTGATCACCTCCCAGGTAGTGGCAATGATCCACAGTTACTCACCTCTCTACGTGTCCTCTTTTCCCGCGTTCTAGCCTCCGTACGTCACGCTACATCCGAAGCTCGTCCCTGGACAGAACTCATCGACCGTTCAGCGTTTTCACGGCCACCATCTCTCTCAGAAGCAGCGTCACGAGTAAGAAAGAACTACACCTACTTCAAATCCAACTACATAACCTTAGTAGCAATCTTGCTCGCAGCCTCTCTCCTCTCACACCCTTTCGCACTCTTCCTCCTCGCGTCACTCGCCGCTTCTTGGCTTTTCCTCTACGTTTTCCGTCCGGCTGAGCAGCCCTTGGTCATCGGAGGACGCACGTTCTCTGACTTGGAGACGCTAGCGATGCTCTGTCTTTGTACTGTGGTGGTGATGTTCATGACGAGCGTTGGCTCGCTCTTGATGTCTACACTGGCTATTGGGATGATGGCTGTGGCTGTACACGGTGCGTTTCGTGCGCCTGAAGATTTGTTTCTTGAGGAGCAAGAAGCCATTGGGTCTGGTCTTTTCACATTTTTCAACCAAACTGCTTCAAACGCAGCTGCTGCTGCTATTGCCACATCTGCCATGTCACGCGTTCGAGCCTAAGCTTATTAAACATTACCATTCATATACGTTTTCTTCATATTTGTATACTATTGAATTTATTCACTCCTTTTCGTTTTTATTACTCAAACAATATTTCAATTTCTGGGAATCTAATCCTCAACAATGTGGACTTGAATGTAATAAAATCTTGTTTATGGAGTATTTCACTGTTTTTTTTTTTTTATGTTGTTCTTTTACACCAAAGTGAAACTGTGTAAAGCACAAAATCATCAGTAAAGAATAAGAAAATAAAAAATTACAGGCTGCTCTCTTGTTAAGAGCTATCTCTATTGTATAGACAAGTCTCCTCTGCAACCTTTGTCCACACATTGGCCATCTTCTCTGCATATCCAACCTACAAGAGATCGTATACCCACCAGTTTTCCCACATTCACTCAATACCTCACAACATATCAATATATAGATCTCACACATCTAATAACTATTACTATGTACCTGGTTAACAACAAAGCCCTTCATCATATTCAAGAAGTCTGCACGTCTTTCTCTGTCCAGCCTTTCAACCTCGCTCCTGTTATTTTCCTGTCATGATAATAATAATAATACATATTCACATTTAGACTTTTCAAATGGGCATTACATTTGTTATGTATGGATTGACTTAACCACCACCTTGATCCGCTCATAATCCCTGATGGCTACATTTTTGGCGTCTTCAGTGGCTTTGATGGTTTCTTTTAACTCCTCTATCTTCTTAACCCTTGATTTGTCCCCGCCAAATACCTTTGCAGATGCAGCTTCTAGCTTCTCTGCTCTTCCTTCAAGTGAAGAAACCTCAGATAGAAGCATCTGCAGTGTCAGTAAGGCACTAGATCTATCTGCAAATGCGCCTTGGACCGCCATCATTACGCCAAGGTAATCATGGAGTGTGTCCTGACATCAAACAACAGTTCCTTAATGAAAACCAAAGCTCAGCTCAAACGAGAGAGAGTAATAAACTCTACATTACCAAATGCTTAACCGTCTGAGAGTTCAGTTCTCTGTAAAACCTGCTAGCTTTTACAGCTGCAGTGGCTAAATTCTTCATATCATTAGCACGAGCTCTCTGAGAATTGAATACAGCTTCTTCATTATCAAACTTCGTCAGCTTAATGAATGCTAACCCCAATTCTCCCATCGTCTCCCCCATGTCTTGCTGTGCCTTGACAAGTGTTTCAGCCTACACACAGAAACATACTAAACTCAACTGATTCATAAAATGAAGTTAAACAAGTATCAAACTCCACCTGCTGTGAGGCATTAATAATCTCTTTCTCAAGATCATGCATCTTCTCCTTCCTCTCCAAAAACTCTTTATCTTCCTCCACAACACCTGGCTTAGCTCCACCCCAGTCATTAGAAACTGTCTGTCTAAGCTCTTTAAACACTCTAAACAAATCTCTACCCCCTCTAACCGGCTGAGCCACCTCAACCACAGAGCCCCCTCCTCCTCCTTCACCTGGCACATCTGTTCCCATTTTCAACGGCAACTTCCCTTCTACCTGAAGAAAAATCTTCAACTCATCACTACACCTAATCACAGGATGAGCACCAAGCCGACACAAATACTTCTCCAAAGCAACTCTCCTCTGCTCAACAAACTCCTGCCTCTGCATCACCTGACTCTCCACCACGCTCTTATCCGGCCTCGGCGGGATGCAAAACCCTCTATAAGCCTCAGCCAACCTATCCGCCAACGTCACGACATCCCTAAACCGTCTCCTAACCGTAAAGTCCGTTCCTTTATACTCCGGAAGATTCGTCCTCGTCGTGATCAGGTAAGTTACATAACTGCCTCCGGAGGAAAGCATGGATCTTTCTGTCTCCTGCTCCTTCTTAGGGCTTGAAACAGTGATCTTGATGTAATCATCTGAGGAGTGAGGGATGTAATAATCATCTGAGGCGTTGTTGTCGTCGAAAGAGCTGAAGATGACGTCTGCGTAAAACGGAGGAGGTTCGATGTTACTGTTTGGAGGGTTGGTGGTGGAGAGTGGATCGGAATCAGCGGGAGTGATGATGATTGGAGGTGGAGATAAGTTGTGGCTGCCGTTGACGTTGGTTCTTGTTAAGGGATCGTCGTGGAGGAAGAGATTTGACATATCTTCCTTGGAGGTCAGGGAGTTTTCGTCATTCTCTGAGCCCATCATTTTTGGAATCTGTGAAGTGATGAATCTAATTTTAGTAAGAATTGGAGATTCAGATGACGTGGATGTGAAGCTGTTACGGTGGTTGTGGACAGCGATTAGATGTCGGAGCGGTGGTACGGAGGAGAGTGGATCGATAAGTGTCGTGAAGTCCCGACAATAACCAAATTGAGGAAAGATGGGACAAAGAGTAGCTTTTGGGTTATGTTAAATAGTTTTGATGGGCTTTGACCCGACCCGGACTTGATCGGTCCGTCCTTATCTACGGCCCAATAGACAACTCGTGATCGTCAGTCATATCCCCGTATCCAAACGGGATGTGTAGATTTCACTCGGTTGTTTCTTCTAAAGACCTCTAATCAAGGAGTTAGGTAGGTACAAAAAAAAATTATTGTTTATAAAATGTTGTAAGAGTGTAAGAAAATACTATGAGGAACAGAACACGTATATAGAAAAATCATTAAGCAGTTTGATCGACTTTTCACTGAAATTACTACGATGTTTCTCTGATGGATAAATTATCCAAATTTCATTAAAAAAAGTCTTACGAGCTCCATCATCCATTCACCGAAATTACTACGATGTTTCTATGATGGATAAATTATCCAATGATGAGCTCCATCATCCATGTGAAGTCATGTGACACACTTAGTGGCGAGGTGCAATGCGCAAGAGAGAGCCTTTCCGTTTATTTTATTTGTTTAAATGAACAGTTCCAAGCAACTTCACCACACCAAAACATTATTTAACAAGTTTGGACCCATTGCATCGAAGTTTCAGATAGAATAAACCCAAAGGCTTATGTGTAATTTGGGTCTTTAAATAATATATTTAAGAAGCCCAAGTCTAAAACAATCTTTTTTATGATATATCTACAAAGCTTTCAACCTACACCTCATTGCCACAAAACTTCTCAACTCAAAACAAAGAGCTTCTCTCACACACTTTCGCCCCTTTTTATAAACCGCGCGCCAAACCTGAATTAACTACCAAAGACTCTTCTTCCTTCACTTTCAAAATATTTCTTTTTGTTTTCTTAGGCTGCAAAGATGTTGGACATAGCGTATGAATTGGTGGGACAAGCCACATCAAACTCCCTTCTTATGTTCTGTTTCTGCAACCTCATCATAGTCATAATCATCACTGGATCATCAAAACCCGGTTCTACGGATTCTCAAGATTACACTTTTACTACCTCTGTGAGCTTTACTATGTGCAGCAACGTTGCTTCCGAAGATCATGACTGCGGTGACGAAGATGATGAAGAGATGATTGACGTTGATGTTTCATCTGCACAAGATGAGCCTCTGACCGATGCCTCCAGCATTTCTAAAGAGTACAAAGACAAAGAAAGCATCCAGTGTTGTGATGATGATGAGGAGGAGGAGGACGAGGATGAGGATGAGGATGATGATGATGAGAGTAATGAGGCTGATGTTGAAGAGGAGGAAGAAGATGATGAGTTAAGAAAGAGAGCAGAAGAGTTTATAGCAAAAGTTAACAATGAATGGAAGTATGAGAAGCTTAGGGCTTTGAATTTAGTTTATTGATTTGATCAAACACACAAATGTATCAAATTTAAACCGTTTGTGTAGTTTTGGACATACTTTTTTTTACCTCTTTGTATTACATTTTTTTGTCATATTATTTCTATTTAGTCCTAAGATTTTCATACAAACAGTAATAAGTTTAACCTCTGTATTTAGCCAACGGCCATTGTTTAAACACCACCATTTTGTAACCACGCCATACAGGTAATGCGCCGTTGCCTCTTTTCTTGTTCCTACAAATTTTCCAGAGACAAAGAGAGAACAAAATGATTTTGCCTCTGTTCTTATTGATTTAAATCTCCACAATTTTCCTTCCTAAAATACAATGATGGATCCAAATATATTTGCAGAAGACCCCTCCTTTGTTGAGGAATTCGACATTGATTTCGAATTCGACGCCCCAAGATTCTATGATTTCTCCAAACCAGAAACAGAGGAAACAGAGCTCTGGTTTGAATCAGCTGGAAACTATCCTCCTTCACGTAATACCTCCATCTTTTTGACAATTTGATGGAATTTTTTTTTGTCTCATGACATTGATTATGCCTTTTTTTCTACAGCATTTAGTTTAAATCTGAGCTGTATATTCGACGATAAACATCTCAAGATCCCTAAACCCGTCTCGGATAAATACAACGGTATTATAAGCAATTCCTCTGTTTTTTTTTTTTGCTCTGTTTTTTCTTGCCACTCAAGGTATTTTTTTTTGGTGATTAGGGTTCATTTATTACAACCAAAATTCTAAAGATGTTTGCAAGACGATACAAAAGCCTAAAACCAAACCTTTTTTACGAAAAAACTCGACTTTGACGAGACCCACTGCTTCTTTATTGGCAAGACAGAAGTCACAGAACAAACCTCTTGACATTTACTCTGCTCAGCTTCTCACAAGGTAATATTTAATATAGCATGCTTCCTCTTGAGTTAGTTAGTTTTGTTTCTTAGCTTCAACTAATTTTAAATGTTTTGTAGATGTCAGAGATCATTAGGGAAGCTCAAAGGCGAGATCTCATCCTCGCTTGTATTATCAATGCCTCAAACACAAGATACCAAAAGGCAAAAACTTGAATCTGGCTTCTTGCGCAAGGTATTTTACTCACTGCTCTCTCATCTTCAACCTATTTTGTTTTAGGGACTAATACTATTCACCTTTGTGTGAGTAGGTATCACGGTTGGATCAAACTCCCTTTGTACATAAGGTTCCAAAGAAGGTAACACACTTCAGGTTATAAACTAGATATTCATTTTATCATCTTCTTGTATGTAATATATTAGTATTTACAGGTATCAAAAGTCACTGTTCCAAAAGAACCAAACCTTAAGACTGCTCAAAGAGCTACAAGACAACGGTAAGGACTCTCTTGACATTTTATTTTGGTTGCCCAAGTGGCTTATTTACTATGGATATTTTTTTTTTTCAGGTTTAAGGCTAATTCAGCACCTGAGCAGGTTGCTAGATTTAGCTCTACAATGAATAAAACAGTAAGTGTGAGCTTGTTTTGTTTCTTTCCATGCAAGCAAGCTCGTTAGCTATAGTAAATACAAATCTTTGTTGTGTCTGAACGCATGTGTAGATTCAAGAAAGTGATTCGCATAAAAAGAATATGCATGGCTCTCAAGATTTTCAGGTGTGAATCTTCTAAATGACATTTTGAAACTCTCTTAATCATACCACAATCTCACCAACATTCTGTTTCTTTATGTTTTGTAGGGATTTCATCTAAGGACATCTCTTAGAGCCAAGGAACGTTCTTCTAATGTATGTCTCAAAACTTGCTACACAAAATTTGTATATTGTTTGTTGATCTCTCTTCTCTCATCTCTCCAGCTATAATGAGATTTCTCCATCGCAGGCTAAAAATGCACTCATGGATGTTCCTATTCACTCGCTAACGTTAGTCCATGGTCTTTTCTCTATTTGCACTAACTCAAACTAGAGTCACAGCTTCTCAAAATGTTCGTTCACATCTTATGCAGGTCAAAGTCCGTTGTGTCTAGAAGGGGTAGGAGAGTGAAGGAATCTAGCAGCTCAAAGACAATTAGTCAAGTTTATGAACCTAAGACTAGCCATCTAGAATCAAAGGTGATGCGGATTTCTTCTCCCAAAAAAGAAGTATAATCCATGAAAGGTTTTATAAAAAGCTCACAAAACTACCTATTCTTGATAGGCATCAAGAAAATTTGGTGAAGCAATCAAAATCAAACATGAAAACAATTTCCCTAGAGTAAGTCATTGTTATTGTATGTTGGTTCTTGAAACTGAAACTATTAATTACAATGTCTCCATGGACCATGTGATATTTGTAGATGGAGAACCACCGTTGTTTTGGTTCATTGAAGGAGTTTGAAGCTCCAAAGGTCACAAACTATCAAGATGAACATTTTATTGAATCTCTCAGAAAAGTAAGAGAACGTTTTTATCATATTAAGCTTGTGTTTTCTTATGAATATTAACAACATTACCTTTTTCCTACAGCTATGTATCACTTCTGATACTGATTTAGTCGCTCCTTGTATCCCATCTACATAGAGATTTTTTCAAGATATCAATTTGCTTGTACAAATTAGACATGGCTATGAAGATATTTGAGAGCTTTAATGAGAGTGAGGATCGTTCATGTTTAGCAGGTATTTGAAACCACTAGTGCCTTGCTCCATCTCAACAATTTTTCCTTGTTATATTTGGACCAAACAACACACCTCCATCAAATCACATTTCTAAACGTGTTAATTTTTTGTTGCAGGACATTCATCAGGAAGTACCCAATCGCTCCTTACATTTCATAGCTGTCGTAAAGCGTATACTGATATGCATATATATATATATATGCTCTTAATTAGATTGTAGAAGTTTCATAAGTTTGCAATGTTTGTGTTTGATCCTCAATGAATAATGTACAAATATATATATATATATACATTGTGATAGAAGTAGTCCTTAATGATATGGTGTGCTTTAAAGAGGAGTTTGAAAGACTTTTATCGAACTCCTGAAATGTCTTATGGAAAGACATTTTCCATAATGTTGACAACAAACCTCAAAGGCATATATATCTGGAATCTTTTCATGGAAAACATAAATGACCTAACATATGATATTATTTAGTACTGTTGATGAAATGTTGTTGAGAATTAAAATGAATCATGCATGGAGTTTGTCTGGTAGTAGTAGGTGGAGCTCATGGGAAAAGTGCCAGCACGTAACCGACTTATGTTGCTATTTTTCTGCTTCACTTTGGTACTCTTAAATTTTACTTTCTTTTCTTTTGGATTCCATGCTTGAACGTGTCATTACACTAAGCATATTAAAACACCTTCACGAATACATCGTGAACTTGTATATTCTTTCTGTGTTGTTTTTTTTTTTTTTTTTTTGAACTATTAGTGCTGAACAATGTATCAATTGTATACATATTAGTATTCATCATTATATTAGACCTAATTCTTAAGGGTTTAACCCATACGATTTGTTTTTGTAAAACATAAATGTGTGTTTGTGACGTGTGGCTAATTTTATTGATGCGAGGTTTGACACGTAGATGCAGTTCTTTTCTATTTATCTTCCTTGGGCTCCCCTAGGCAGCAATGTCAAGAAGTCCAAGAATGACGCCTGTGCAACTCCTCACGCTCTTCTTTTTCTTTTTCTCTGTTTCAAGATCCATCGATGTCTCGAAGCCTCATGCCGCAGAATCCTTTAATATCAATCTCATTCAGGTTATCTGCTTTTTTTTTTAGTTTTTTTTTTTAATTTCTATTTTCGACTCGTCTGATTGTTTGTATTTTTCACCGTCGAGGATGCAGAATTTTGGAAGCTGTAGGTACACGGTGATCATCAAGACGAGCTGTTCGTCACCTAGGTACACAAGAGACCAGATCAGCCTCTCTTTCGGGGATGGCTACAGAAATCAGGTTAAGTTCATGTTTTAGAGTCCCATTTACAAAATATTAGAACATAGTATATATATGTGTGTGTGTTATTTTAACATTTGCACCAAAAAAAAATATATATATATATATATATATATATATTTATGTTTCAGAGTAGATAAAAATTTGCATGCATGTTATCTTGTTTTTGTTGACTAGGTATACGCACCTAGGCTTGACGACCCAGGGTCGAGAGCATTTGAGCAATGTTCATCAGATACATATGAGATAAACGGACCATGTGTACGCCAGATATGCTATGTCTATGTTCACAGGTCTGGTCCAGATGGTTGGATTCCAGAGAGTGTTAAGATATTCAGCCATAACTCCAAGGCAGTCACTTTCACTTTCAACACGCATGTCCCTGAAAGCATATGGTTTGGTCATAATTACTGCAACACCATCTAACATTATCACTCCCTAGCTTTCGGTCTCCGCAAGCTCCTTGTACTTGTAGGGCTAGCTTAGCTAGCTACGTTGCTTTGGTAAGTTGCTATTTGGCTCCCTATGTAAATTAAATGTCTTGTACGGAACCATTTTTGGTTTGTTTGCTTCTTCTTCTTCTTGTATGTTTTTGCTGGTGAGTGAAACTTCTTTGTCTCTACATTGTGTGGATAGCTTTTTGTACATTGGACTCTTGGTTTTTGCATATCGTAGTTGACTATTTTTCCATATTTATGTACCGGTTTACTTGATTCGGTTTGCGAAGATGATGATGATAAGTTCCAAACAACAGTCATAGTATCGTAAAGCCCCTTATTAAGCCCAATTTAAAAGTATAATGGGCCTAAATATAATCGACTGATACAAAAGCACAAGGATCAAGCCCTGTAAGGAAACAAAGTAAATTCACGATCAAAATCAACTTCAAATTATGTGTAAATGATTTACATGAAAAGACCACAAAAACGTATAGTTATATTCTCTTTTTATGATGGTTTAGTTATGTTCTTTTTGCTATATAAGTAAGGTTTTACATGAGGATTTCTGTAACTCTATTCCAAATTAATAAACTAGATGACATAAGACAATCAGAATAATCATACAAAAGAATAACTGCGTAAACCTTCCAAATTTACAAGTAATGCTATCAAATTAGCAAACTTAGGCCTATAAGCCAATATGCTGCAACTTAAACCCATAACTTGGATAAATATGATTTTTTATGCACAAAAAACACACTTATTACTTCATTGAAATTACGCTATACAAATTATAAGAAAACAATTGTAGACACTTTTTTTAAAAAACACTGGCCAATTTGGAGACATATCTTATATTTTTTTAGTTAAATTAGCTTATATCGAAGAAAAAAAATAAGACAACAAAAGCAAGCACCTTGTCTTCTTACATGTTATAAATACAACCATCCAAATCTCCAGATAAATTTAACAATCCACATAGAGAATCCAATTTTTCTTGCATGTGAATTAGATGATGAAAGAATAAATATATAACATTCGACTAATATATCCATTTATTATAGAACTATAGACATCGTTATTAGTACTCTTTGACATTTATTAAAAATATAATTGGATAACATCGTAACGGTAGTCTAATGGTTGAATTCTCTATGATTTCCAAGAGTCCCCTTGGTTTATCTTAAGTGTGATATTCATGTGGTAATTTTTAAATGGGGACTAAAATATATATATATGAACAAATATTATATGTTATATAAGTATTGTTTTCATTTAGTAAAGTAATAATGAATTTAAGAGGGTCACTAGAGAATATGAAAATAATATTAGCTACGAACCAAATATCATAATTTCATCCAATGTGGAACATATATTTATTTGCTATTTCTATCTTACACCAAAGCAAAACAATTGATAAAAACTAAAACAAAAACAAAAACTCATCACTAGTTTTGAACATTCCTCCTTGTTTCTTTAAAACCCATATGAAATTCTCCACATAACTACAAGTCAATTTCTGGGTCACATCATTGTCTCATTTTTAGAAACTTTTCTGTTTGTAAGCCAATTTGAGAACTCTTAAAGAGTGTTCATGTCTGCTCTATAATGCTTCTATGTGAACTCAAGAAACGTAGACCATGTAAAATCAGGATACTCTCTTTCAGAGATCACTCCTACTAATTCTTTTGGTGGCTTTAGCACTTTATCTCCTTTAGGACATAGGAAAATGCAAATGGCTTCCTTTCTCTCCCTTATCTTCAATGGATTTTCTAATCGGTCAAGAACAGTCAGCATTACAAAAACAATAAATCGATACACTATTAAATATTTGATTTGTCTAAAGTCAACTTTTCTTATATCCTACCGCGGTGCTATCCGTACTACTTAGTAATACTCAAACTTTTTTTTTGTGCACTGTAATACTCAAACTTAAACAAAAGATTTGATATCCTTAAATGCGTGACAGTAGATGAGTAGACGAGAGAAACTTAATATTTATATCTCACTCTAGATTTATTCATACATACTAATTTTTTAAAAATTTATTATTTTATCCCTATTTAATACATTATTATTTTTGATTATTTTAAAAAATGAACTGAAAGAATAAGGATAAATTTGAAAAAACTAATTAAAATATGCATTGAAAACATAAAATAACATTTAAAATGAAACAAAATTTAAACTCTAAAATGGCAAGTAATAAAAACGGAGGGAGTATTACGATCATTAATCCACTTGTGGTTAAAATACATGATTATGCTTTAAATATTTTATTTACTTATACAAGTTTATTAGTGTGTTTATTTGGTTACAACATGCCAACTTAATCATAGCACAAATACCAAACACAAAATCCATTTGATGTACACATATACACATGACTGCCAAATATTATTTTAATTAGATTTTTCTCCTTTTTTAAGAATATTAGATTTTGTTATGATATAGTAAACCAAGGTATGATGGTGGAAGCCTAGAACTTCTACAATGAACTTTTTATCTAAAAATTAATTAGTTAATTAAAATTTAGTTTAAATAAATCTCGAATCATTTATAGGCATGCATGTATCAAGATACCTATTAAAAATTATAGGTGCATTGTAGTTTTTTATTTTCTTTTTTTCCTTCTTTTTATAAAAATATATAGGTATAAATAAATCTTGAATCATTTTATTTTTATTTTCCCTCTTTTATTAAGAAAATACCTATAAAATATATAGCAATAGTATAATTATATAAAAGGAACATTCACTACTTTAATGTCATAAAATCTTAATTATCCTTTTGATCTTGTTAATGAATTTGCAAAACAACTAGAAAAATCAAACTCACGCGCTCTTCATCTTAAACTATTCACACTTTATGAAAATCCGCTATGATTTTATCAATAGCTAATTTATAAAACCAAATGATGGTAGTTTAGTGGTAATTTGGTATGTATCTATATTAATTTTGGGATTTTGTTTCCTCTTAGAAATTAAATTATCATTATTTGACTAGTCTAAACTTGAGCTTCGGCTCAAATGATTTATATAGTGGACCGTAACAGATCAGTTCATCCCCTAGCATTAGTCAAAAGGTATTTCAACTCGAGTCAGACAGTATGGTAGTCAATCCACTCTATAGTATTAAATCTAGTCTTATCGGAGACAACCAAATCAGCCGATAGGATTTATAAAAAAAAAATCTAACTCGTGTAACTTTTTACCACTTCCCCCAAATGATCAAAAGAACAAACATCTGTTGATTAGAGAGATGAAAACATAAGAAATTGAAAATTTACAGGTGAATAAGTTCCACAGAAGATTAGTCGGTTAGAAGTAGACTCGTCTGAACACACTTAGTTAATAAAAAAAAAAATTATCAATATTTTAGTCAAAAACAATTATTCGTTATCCTCTAGAGAACAAATATCCTTCTCCGATTATTTCAGAAACTAAACATATGTACCTTTCATCTCGAACAATCAAAACTTATTAAAAACTAAACTAAACTTATAATTTTTAGGATAATTAATTTTCCCTTTAATCTTTTTTTTTTCACCTTTGACGAAGTAGTGGAGCCTAAAGGAAAACAAATGCAGACATCGTCTTGCATGCAACAAATACTTACTTTCTGTTGCGTACGTGTTAACGCAGTACTGTATTAGATTCTTATTAATTGTAAGTGTATCCTTAACGGACACTTTTTTCACGTATGTCCATACAAAACGGACGATAGTTTTGACAATTAGATGTTAAGAAAAACTGACAAAATTTCGAAAAAGAAAAACTGACAAGATTTTGACTTTTGTTTAAAAAAAAAAAAAGAAACAGACCTCCCCAACAAAAAATAAATAATTATTACTAATATAATATTCTAACGAAAAAATTGAGTTTTAATAGCACAAAGCCTTAAGTATTTTACACAAGTAAGCTAAAAATCTCTAAAGATAGTACAGTAGAAACTCTCTGAATTAATAATGTTCGACTTTGATATTTTATTAATTTATATAATTTCATTTACAAAAATTTCCCTTTATATTTTTCTATTTTATTTTTTTTTATAAAATAAGTAAACTATTTTATTTTAGTGTATACAGATTAATTAATGTTTTGAACACTTATATGAATTTTATTATATTATTTGATGTATAAAATATGTCTCATAAAATTTAAATGTAATTTTAAATATAATTGTAATAAATTTCATCAAAATATAATGAGTGTTAAGAACTATAAAAATAATTTTATCGTAAAGGTAAAATAAAAAATATAATGATTGGTTTATACCTATATAAAATGTATATACATATAAATTATTAATTGATAATTTAATAAGACCATATATTTACATTGGATTTTAAAAAAAAATATTATGTTATAATATTATCGATTTGTGTCATATTTTGAATCGGCCTAATTTGTGACGGGATAAATTTATTAGTTTATCATCTTTATTAATTTATCGAAGATTTTTGAGTCAACATGAGAGTATCACCACCAATGCTTCTTCTACTAGGCTACCATGAAGCATTGTAGAGTTATAGTTTCAAAATTCCTCATTGGTATTTTGATTTTTTTTTTGAGCAACTGAAATTCAAATTAAAATAAAGGCCTCAGGCCCATGTTATTTCAAAATTCTAAATTTTCAAGTTTCATTCAACAAAAAAAATATAGTTTATCATTTTTAATAGCTTATGATTATGTAGTTTGGACATAATTAAATTACATCAGATCTATACTATAGATATCAGAATATTTTTTTCATTTGCATTTCACATACAATATTTAGTATTTTTCTTTTATAGCACAAATCCAGACAAAGATGTAAGAAAATCATTGAACTAAAAAGAAAAGCAATCACATATATTTAATAGAACTAAAAAGTATATATTGGTAAATAGCATTAAGTTTTGCCTCTTTAGTCTAGATTTTATACATAAATTAGCACACAGTATTTCCGTGCAATGATAACTTGTTTTATCTCTTTTTTCTTAAT